CCGACGGGCTTCCCTAAGGAGGCATGAGGCCAGACCTCGCGTACCAACTCTGACGGAAGAGCTTAGCGGCCCAAGTCCGATGACTTGGGGCCGACGGGCTGCCCTAAGGAGGCACGAGGCCCCGATCTCGCGTACCAACTCCGACGGAAGAGCTTAGCGGTCAAGTCCGATGACTTGGGGCGGACGGCTGCCCTAGGGGGGCACGAGGCCTGGCCTCGTTGGCCCCCGACGGGAAGTGTCCGAGCCGGAGGGGCACCATTCGGCCTGGGGGCACATTAAAGAAAAAAAAAAGGGAAAAGATATTAGAAGCAAGGCAAATCATAAAATAACGGTTCCATACATAAAGTCTAGAAATCCGGAATACATGGCAAAAATATAAAGCTAAGGGTCTGCGTCTAAGACTCTCTAGGGGGCGCCCTCATGGCGGGCCGCTGCTGAGTGTTCCCCTTCCAGGGCCTCAGAGGCAACCCCGTTACGGGAAGAACCGACCGCCAAGGAGGATGTCTGCGCGTGAGATGGGTCTAAGTTGACGTCGATCTCTGCCCGCGCCTCCCCGGAGGGTCCGGTCCCCGCACTTCGGCCTCCGGGTCTGCCAACTCAGCTGGTAGGCCCCACGTCTTGGGGGCAAAGCTCTTATCTCGCTGACGAAGAATGGCATAGATGTCGGGCTGCGTGGAGTAGCATCCCAAGTTGTAGGAGAACACGCCAGCCTCCGCTAGCCTCGCCTGGCCCGGCACCGTAGCCAACCACGCAATCACCAAGGCCTCCGAATGCTCGTCGGCATAGGCCTCCACATCTCGACGAAAGCTCTCAGATCTCTTATAGCTGCAAACGGCACGAATAATCTACTCCGAGTGTTTCTTCTTGGCAGTCTCGAAGTCCTGTGCCATCCTGCGGCATTCCTCATGCTTGGTGTCCAGGGTAAAGGACGTGCAAACACTTCAAGTAAACACACAGAAATCAAGAGTTGGGGAGTACCGCGAGACTGTCACGAAGTATGGGGGCAACCCATCTGCCCGAAAGGACTCCATCGCGCTAGGCCCAAGCATACCTAAGACCGTGTACCGAAGGCGGGCCGCCTCGCCAAGGGAGAGGGAGCCCAGCCTGCCGGCAGGAGCGGGGGAGGGGGGGGGGGGGAGGCGCAGAAGTAACCACGACGCCAGTAGGAACGGAACCACGAGTCCCGGCTCGCGTGTCGGCAGGCGGCGCCCGGGGGGCATGGCCGGCGCCCTCGGGGGCGACACTTTGTCTCTTGGATGCAGGGGCGCGAGCGGCGGCAGCACGACGTATCAGCTCCCCACAAGAAACCATCGTGGAGGATCCACCTACAAGCAGAACACGTTTATTAAATGCTGCAATCTTGAAGACGTATGTATAAAGGAAAACAAGAGACATATGGACATATATATACAAGAACGAGAAAGCGGGGATAAGAGCAACCTCCAGGAACGGCGGGGCGGGGCTCAACGTCAACCTCGGCCTCGAGCAAGACAACCTCGAACTCGGACGGGGCGACCTCAATCTCGGACTCGGTGGCGGAGAAGACGGACTCATAGTCCTCCGGCCCCTTGGCCAAGGCCTCACCCGAGGGGACCCCGGAGTGCCCCTCGGCCACGGCCTCGTCCAAGAAGGCCTCAACGTGCCCCGAGGTGGCACCCACGGATCCGGCTTGGCGCCGGGAGGGCGGCAGAGCCCGGGACGGCGAGGCCCCACCTACGAAGCCCAAGGCGGCCAACCTCTTCGGGGTCATCAAGGCCTCCATCATGAGCTCCTCCTTGTCTCCTAGGAATTTTTGGCGCTAGCAACTAAGGAGGGGGAGCCCGGGGGAGTGGAGTATTTAAGGAAATGAAAGGGAGCTCAGGGCCCATGGAGAGGTAAACAAACTTGGATTTCCATTCAATGGTCTTGGGATCTTTGAAGATTTTCATACCGGCTCGGGCCGGGAAGGCCATGAACCCCTTGCTCTTAATTCCCGAGGAGTTGCCGGCTTGGAAGATATAGTGGAAAAGATCGAGGGAGGGCGTGACCCCGACGTCCTCGCAACGGATGAGGAAGGCTATCGGTATGGAGTGGGAGTGGGGGACTAGTTGCCCTGGGGGGACCTCATGGAGGTTCAACAACTCGACCACAAAGGGGTGGAGAGGAAACCGTAAGCCCGAGGCAAGAGAGAGAACGTGGATGTAACACCCCACTTTTCTAACTCTTAATCATAGATCTAAACCACAATTATCATAAACTAAGCAGCGAAATTAATAACTAAAAGATAACTAGTGGGAATGTCACCGCCACAACCACCACTCCGTGGTGATTGAACAGGCTAAGGGGTAGAACTAGAAATAAAATAAATATCTAACATCCATAATAAATACTGAAAATCATAAGGGGGAAAAAGTCACCCCAAAGGTCTACATCATCAAACGTCTACAAATCATCACAAGTCTAAAATCCGGATAATAATATCATCAACAAAGCATAAGAGTTTAGACATCTCAAACTACGAGACTAATCTAACTCGATCACTTCTCACTGCTGGGCCCACCTGAAAGGGGTTTTGCAAGCAACACATAGACAAATAGGAAAACACCCGTTAGCACGAAACTAAGTATAACCACACTAAAGTACTATAGAATATATTTTGAAAACATTTGATTTCTCTTATAAACAACAAACTCATCTCATATACATCTTTAGGGTTATCAAATACTTTCTAAATGCTTGCAACGTATAATATCAACAAACGTGCTTCAAAATATAAGACTTAACAACCTAGATACTTCAACATATAAACTTCACAATAAACTTAACAAGCAACTCATGCTTACAAGTAATAACATGCTAATAAACTATACAATAGGTATTCTCATGCTCTCAAATTATTATCACATAAACTGAACATACAAGGCTTCAAATATAACTATATGATCATGCTTGAATAACAATCTTAAATCAACATTTTCATTATACAAACACATACGATATTCTACTCAAATGCAATCTTGTGCAATACTATAGTCACATGCAATCTCGTACAATACTATATTCATACTCATATGCAATCTCGTGCAATTAGGGGTGTTCAATCGGTTAACCGAACCGTTTTAACCGAACCGAATTAACCGATTTTTTTTTTCTTTTAACAGTTAACCGAACCGAAATTTTTTTCGGTTAATCGATCCGTTAACTGATTAACTGAACTTTTTAAAGCTAAAATTTAAAATTTTAAAAATAACACCTAAAATAATAAATCCAATTAAAATAAAATAAATATCATAATAAATTCATAACAAAATATACAAAAAATTTAATTATAAACTCCAAACATCCATAACTTCAAATTAGTATTTATATTTATATTATTATTTATATACATATATATATATATATATATATATATATATATATATATATATATATATATATATATATATATATATTAAAAACTTCGGTTAACCGTTCGGTTAATTCGGTTAACCGACCTTTCGAACCGAATTCACCGTTAACCAAAGTTTTAAAATTCCTTTAACCATTAACCGAACCAAAAAAGTTCGGTTCGGAAACGGTTAACCGAACTTTATCGGTTCGGTCGGTTAACCGAAAATTATCCGAAGTTTGCACACCCCTACGTGCAATACTATAAACATACTCATATGCAATCTCGTGCAATACTATAAACATACTCATATGCAATCTCGTGCAATACTATAAACATACTCATACGCAATCTCGTGCAATACTATAAACATACTCATATGCAATCTCGTGCAATACTATAAATATATATACTCATGAACACTCGTTGTAAAAATAGAGTATGTTCTGTGGAGGTCTCTTTAAGTCATAAATGACTTGCTTTCTTTTCTCTTGAGTCTCTCTTGACTCACTTTCTTTTCTCTTGAGTCTCTCTCGACTCACTTTCTTTTCTCTTCTCGCTCGTAGACAACTCAGGGTTTCACCGTAGCGTGAATTGCCCCATCAGGAGCGGCGTAAATCCGACCCAATATCTCCTACCGTCTACGGAACCAATCTCGTGGTTCACGCGCTGTGGAATCAGGTATCGAACTATCAGTGTGCACACCCCCTGCCCAGGATTCCAAGCCTGGCGGGCAGTTTCCAACCTCGTAACATGGGAATACGCCGCGTTACATATACTGGGACCGCAATGTCCATAAATATCTCCCGAGAGGACATAGTCCAAACGGTATCCTCCAAAACCTCACCAATAGATAATACATAGATATATCTCTCATGCATGCAACAACTTCTCAACTTTTCAATGCATCAAATAATGATGTACCACATGCTTTATAGATTTTTGAAAGTAATACTTGGGCTCACGTTGGCCCCTTATGCATTTTTTTGAAATATGAAATATGTGGGATGCCAAAATACTCTATAACATGCTACTAAACCATATATATAAACCATAAAGTACTCAAGGATATAATATCATGCTCGGTTTGCAACATAGCAAATTCTATACATTTCTATTAACAAATATGCTTCAATTCTCATTAATCAAATATCACATTCTAGTCATGCTTTCATAATAAATCATATTCTCAAAGGATCATGCTTCTCTACTCAATACAAAAATATCAACAGATCACATAATCAAGCATTTCTTATACACGGTGAACTTAGCCAACATATGTGCTGTGTAGCAAATCCTTCAAAACATACTCATTTTTTATCCAAACTACACGAAATCAAAGCCAAAATGTGCGTCGAGACGATCCCGAGGTACCGAGCCACAAGGGCCCGTGACACCTGGCCTGAAACGCCACGTAGCTGAGCCACAAGGGCCCGGCCACTGCACAAATTCTCCCAGATCAATACTCAGGGGCCTGGGGCGGGACTCCTCATGAGCCACCCCATGTGCCCCGTTACAATGCCGGGACTAGGCGGCGGCGTTATACCTCTTGTAGCTTCTTCTTCTTGTATGGATCTCTACCTCTTCTCTACTCAAACACCACCTCCTTCGCCACCTAAACACCTCAAACACAAGCCAAGACTAAGAAACTTCAGAGATTGAAAGCTAAAAGGAAAGGAAACCTTGAGCTAAGATGGAAAATGGATGAAGGAAAACTTACTGCGATTCTTCTTTTGCTTCTATCAGACACAAGTTTGGGAGAGGCAAGGTTGGAGATCAAAGTTTAACAAATGAATAGTGATGTATATATAGGGTGCAAAACCCTAGGTAGAAAGCAAATGATTGGGTGAGGGCAAAATGGTAAGAATTTGGCTAGAAAGTGTTCTCAGGCAAAGTTTTCTTGGAATGAAGTGGTTCACCTAGCATCATGAACCAAGGGCTAGAAATGCTATTTTAAATACTTTGGGGTTCAAAATAAATTTTCTCAAAAAGTTATCTAGATGAATCCTTGTTTAAAGCCCTTTTTAAATTCTCCCGGTTTCACTCAGATTGATTTCTCGATTTAAAACTTGGTACGCGAAGTACCCGAAAATTTAGGAATTTCGAATAAAATAAGTTTTGGTGTCGAATTAATTTAAAATGTGACAAAATAATTTATTCAAGCACCAATTGATCGCAAAAATTTTTAATGGAGTGAAAATGACTATTTTGGAATTTCTTAAAATTAGATTTATAAAATAAAATTTTGGGTTGTTACACTCTATCCCCCTTAAAAGAAGTTTCGTCCCGAAACTTAGAAGAAACGAATGGATCAAGTTCTCGATGAGTAAAGGAAGATATAACCAAAAGATTGGGAATTTTCGGTTGGAATACTTTGGAAGGTTTAGGAATCTCTGAGTTCTTATCTAACTTAACTAAGGTCTAAAGAACTACACAAACGAATCTATTAACTGAACTTAAAAACTTAACTAGTTACCTTGATCAAAGAGGGCCGGATAATGGCTCCTTTTCTCCTCCTCGGTCTCCCAAGTGGCCTCCTCAGACAACTGATTAGACCACAAAACCTTAACTAGCTTCACCTTCTTCCTTCTCGTATCCCTAGTTTTATGATCGAGGATCCAAATTGGCCTTTCTTCGTAAGTGAGGGACTCATCTATCTCTACTTCCTCGGGTTGGATTACATGGGTGATGTCCGGGATATACTTCTTCAGCTGCGAGACATGGAACACGTCGTGCACCTACGCTCAGTCCCAAAACACATCTAAGAACAAAACCATAGGATTAAATCTAATTCAAAGGGAAACATTGTACCTTTTCCAATTCCATGGGTAGGGCTAAACGATATGCCACCGTCCCAATCCTCACGACTATGTCGTATGACCCTATGAATCGAGGGCTTAGCTTTCCCTTTCTTCCAAATCTCATCACTCCCTTAGTGGGAAACACCTTTAGTAACACCTGCAATTCACGCACGATTTAAGCTTCCAATACTTAGCGCAACTCAACTATTGGTTCATAAATTCGGGGTTACCTTATCGCCCACTTGGAACTCGGCTGGCCTTCTCCCTTGATCAGCATACGACTTCTGTCTATCTTTGGCCGCTTTCAATCTTTCTCGTATCAACTTGACCTTCTCCCAAGTTTACTGTAAGTACTGGGGTCCAAATACTACTCCTTCGACCGCGTCTTCCCAACACAAAGGACTCCTGCACTTATATCCATATAGAGCTTCATACGGTGCCATTTTGATGCTCGAATGGTGACTGTTGTTATAGGAAAACTCGATTAAGTCCAGGTGTTTGTCCCACGAACCATGGAAATCTATCATGCAGGCTCTAAGCATGTCTTCCAAAGTCTGTATAGTCCTCTTAGTCTGCCCCTCAGTCTCAGGATGGAAGGTTGTACTCAACTTAAGCTTAGTACCCAAAGTAGCTTGCAATGTCCTCCAAAACTGGGATAAGAAACGAGAGTCCCTGTCGGATACTATGTCTCGGGGTATCCCATGGTATTTAACCACTTTCTCAATATATGCTCTGGCCAATTATTCCATCGTCCACGTCTCTTTCATGGGTATAAATCGGGCTGTTTTGGTTAGCCGATCAACAATTACCCATATCTTATCCTTCCCGGTCTTTGTCAACGGTAAACCTCCCACGAAGTCCATGGAGATAGAGTCCCACTTCCTTTCTGGTATATCTAGGGATTGCACTAAACCTTTAGGTCTGTTCCGTTTGGCTTTAACTTTTTGACAATTTAAACATCGTTGTACGAACTCGGCTATCTCTCTCTTCATCTTTGGCCACCAGAAATGCTTCTTAAGATCTCCATACAACTTGTCCCCACTGGGGTGTACCGAATAGGGAGTACAATGCCCCTCTTCCATGATTTGTTTCTTAATCCCCTCGCATTTCATGGGTACGCACCAACGTCCCTTGTGCCTGATGCTCCCGTCTGAATACACCTCGAAAGGCCCACATTTCCCATCGACCATCTTGGCCTTAATTCTTTCCAACTTGACATCCCCCGGTTGATTTTCTCTTATCTCATCAAAGTTGATCGATGTGATCCTCAAGGTGTACAATGCCACTTCTTGGCTAACTTCTCCACTATTTCTTATTTCCAAATTTAGTCGCTAAAACTCTCTACACAACTCGTCTGGCACAACCCAAATACCTCCCAAGGAGTGACTAGATTTCCTACTCAAAGCATCGGCTACCGCATTAGCTTTCCCTTCATGATACTGGATTTCCAAGTCGTAGTCCTTAATCAATTCTAACCACCGTCGCTGTCTCATGTTCAACTCTCTCTGGGTGAAGATGTATTTTAAGCTTTTATGATCGGTGTAAATCCTGCATTTTACCCCCATACAAATAATGTCTCCAAATCTTTAGGGCGAAAACCACTACGGCTAATTCTAAAGTTGTCCCCGCGACACACATTCAACGCCTTTTCCTATCCCTTACTTATCGGGTTTAGTAATTCGGGTCTACCCCGGGTTAATTAAATCCATCAACGGCAAAACAAACGGAGGACCAAATTGGTTAAGATTTTTAAAGTTGAGAGACTTAATTGGTCAAAAAAAAAATAGTCAATGACCAAATTGGTAATTTTGCTATAGTCAATGGACTATTTCGGTAATTAACTCTAATAAAAATATTTTTGTTTATTGGCTATTGTGAATCAACAAACCCTTTTCATTGTTAAAAAGAAAAAAAAAAAAACTTAATAATCAAATGTTATTATATCAAGAAATGAAAATTATTAGGAGGCAAATTTAGAATGAGAAAGTAGCATTTTCTTCAATGTTAGTTTGATGTTTGTAAATTGTAACTTGTACAAACAACAACCACAACAACTTGCCAAGTAGTTTGTAACTCAATGGTACCTCTATGGTTCATTGACTCTTTGTTGTTCAGTAGGTTAAGAAAGTATGTATGAACAAATACTACATTTAAAAAAAAAGACAACAGCGCCCAAAATTGCATGGTATGAATCTTAATCCAGTATTTTATACAAAATATGTTATATAGGGTAGGATGAAATAAGAATAAGATCCTCAGGTAAAAGTGATGATTTATCTCAACTGTTTATCAGAGTTAATTAATGATTGAATGTTTTAGTAAAAAATTACTAGGTAAGTTTTATAACTATTAAAAAGTTTCAATTTTTTAATATTTATAAAAAGAAACTCGCATTTTTCCTATTATTTTTCAGCAACCCTCAATTGTTGATGTATCTCGATTAATGGATTAGATTAAATATTCCTTTTTAAGTGTGAGCCTATTCTTACCTGAAACCTCACCTACACTATATTTAATATAAAACCATAATAAGTCTCTATCCAGGTTATATTCCTGATTTATGTTTTTTTTTTTTGTTAATTTTTTTTTTATACTTTATGCTATATGTACTATACAATTTTTTGGACAAAAAAATTCATACTATTATAAGTTGTGTTAACTTCTTCTTCTTCTTCTTCTTCATCATCATTATTATTATTATTATTATTATTGTTATTATTATTATTATTGTTATTATTGTTATTACTGTTATTATTGTTATTATTGTTATTATTGTTATTATTATTATTATTATTATTATTATTATTATTATTATTATTATTATTATTATTATTATTATTATTATTATATACCATGCACATGCATACACAATATCTTAATATATATAGACAAGCTATTATAAGAAATAAGTTTGATTTCATTATATTTTAATTAAACGTTACCATATTATATTTAGAAATTTATCATATATAAAATTCTTACTTTAGTAATATTAATCATACCATAATTATTACTTAAATTATCAACTATAATTTTAATATTATATGAATTCTACAACTATAAATAAATGCGTTAATAAATACTCCGTACTTGATTGAACACACACACACACACCACGCACGCACGCATGCGCGCGCGCACACACACACACACACACACACACACCACGCACGCACGCGCGCGCACACACAAACACATATATAATATAGTGGTGGAAATTTTGGGGGTTGCACAGGCCACAGATTTTGAGAAGTATCTGGGTTTACCGTCCTTTGTTGGGAGAAATAAGAAGCTGGTTTTCGCCTATATTGAGGAGAAGATAAAACAAAGGATTGGGTCTTGAAATAAGAAGTTGATTTCTCAGGCAGGCAAAGAAATTCTTTTGAAGAGTGTGGCACAATCAATGCCTACTTTTACTATGAGTGTTTTTTTGCTTACTGACTCTTTATGTGTGGCTATTGAAAGATGCATGAACAGATTTTGGTTCTATTCATTGGATGGCATAGGATAAATTATGTAAATCAAAGGCTGCTGGTGGTTTGGGTTTCAAGGACCTAAAAGCTTTTAATCTGGTTATGCTAAGCAAGCAGGTTTGGAGATTCCTCACAAAGCCAGATTCGCTAGTTGCTAGTGTGTATAGGGCAAGATACTTCCCTAAAACTTTTTTATTATTATTATTTTTTTTTATGCTACCATAGGAAATAACCCCAGTTATTGTTGGAGAAGTATTATGGCAACCCATGGTCTTGTTTGTGATGGGGTAAAAAAGAGAATTGGTAATGGTGACTCCACCTTAATCTGGGGACACTCGTGGCTTTTGGACTCTGACCCATTAATCCA